GCATGAAGGGAGCAGCAGCAACGAGGTATTGTCATCGCCCGAGCTCTCGCCCATTCCTGCGCCTCTCCTCTCCAATCTCTCCATCACATTCACGCGCCATTGCATCATCGATCGAGCATTCGACTCTCCAAGTAGGGAGCTGGAGCCAATGGCCACCGCCACCCTCCACATCGACGGCGACGACGTCATCCTCGACGTGGGCCATCTGGCCGGGCAGGCGAGCGGCGACAATGGCGACGCGGTGGACAATGCGTTGATGAGGCTCCCGTGTGCTCTCAACGCGGTCGGCGTCCTCACCGGCACGATGGCCGCTGCGGCTGCCAGGAGTGGTGGAGGTGTGGGCCGCGATGTGGATGGCCGGGGATTGCCGACAGCCAGAGGGGAGCTCGACGGTGCTCGGCTGCCGGGAGTGGTCGGCGGGGAGAGGGAGAGTACCTCGGCGAGCGTTGGCGTTAGGGGACCGCCGTCCGTCGGCATGCGTTGGCAACATCGGTCGACGCCTCGACGAGAATTCGGGAAGGAAGGAAAGGGGAAAAGAATGAAAGAGAAAGAAGGGGGGAGAGAGAGGGGAAGAAGAGGGGAGGGAGGCTGACATATGGATCCGATTTTATTTTGGAGAGGATTAATAGAGAGTTTGTTGGAGTGAGTATCTAATTTGACTGTCTAAATCAGAAGGAGAGTTGGCCATATGTATGTTTGGAGAGTTCGATTTGGAGAGACTATCGGAAAGACTCTTAGCCAGAACTAGGCACTGCCCCTGTGACCTTGGACACATTGATTTTACAAGTTAAGAAACATAATTTAAACTTGATGTCAAGATGATGCATCATGATAACCCGGTCCACAGGGGTACACAGGGTGACCACTCCTCTTCCCCTCTCTGCATATGCGTCAGCCGCCAGGCGACGGCGGACGGCCACCGACAGCCGCCGCATGCAGCTAGGGTCGTGCCCGTGCGTGCCGGCTTTGGCGGTGGCGTGTGGCGATCACCGGCGTCCTCGGAACGAGCAAGCCAACGACGCGAGGATGGGACGGGACCAGGGGAGGAGGGCAGTGCCGCGGCCTGCAGCGGTTGCGTGCAATTTGCAAAGCAGTCTGGAGCTTGGTTGCGCTGGAGATTGGAGCAGCCGGGTGGGAAGGAGACGATCGAGGGTGGATCATCGGATCCTGTTTCCGACACCACCACAGTAAAGGAAGGCTCGTTCCCAAATCCCATTTTTATCTGTTGGTGTGTAAAATGAGAAATCAATGTACTTCAGTTGGTTAATTTTTTTTTACTGTAAACTGTGGACTTTATCACTGCAGAGACCAAAATGAAGGAAGTATGTGGATTTGAAATCACACTCTTCTTGTTGTAAGAACACCGAAATTAATAAGCATCATGTTCTGGATCCATCAGAAATGCCTCTCAAGTCCCATGAATCTTTTCGTATGCTATATATTTGTCAACATAGATTATAGTTTGTCAATTGTTGTTTCATTCATGGATTGAATTTTTTTTCTAAATATGAACCTTACATTTAGCTTTTAGATACTTCCTCTATCCAAAAGTCTAATACCTATTTCATTCTTTGGTTTTCCAAAAGTCTAAGGCCTATTTGTAATCTCTATATGCTAAATTAAATTGTTGACCGGAACCAAGACGTCCTTTTAGTACTTACTCCCTCCGTCCCAAAAAAAGACAAACCCCGGTTTCCGTGCCCAATTTTTGACCGTCCGTCTTATTTGATAAAATTATGAAAAAAATTAAAAACACAAGTCACGCACAAAGTATTAATCATGTTTTATCATCTAACAACAATAAAAATACAAATTATAAAAAAAATTCATATAAGACGAACAGTCAAAGTTGGACACGCAAACCTAGGGTTTGTCTTTTTTTTGGGACGGAGGGAGTATTGTCACATGCATGTGTGTAGTTCATTAGTTTTGTCACTGGGTGGATGAGTTAATTACTTCTTGGTCATGGTGATAAAAGAAATATGTTTTTAGATTTTTGGATGAAGGGAGTATCTCTTAATTTCTGAGATATACATGCATTTAAGGTGCTCGATAAACACGTAGCTAAATTATTTTATTGTTAACTAACCTGTAATCTCTCTATGTTAATTTGTGGTGTTTTGATATTGTGTATATTGTTTTCTTTTCCATTTAAGTATCCCATAGTAACTCTGAATACCAATAGAAATCTTCCATCTGCCACAGTTTTGCAGTGCATTCCATTGTATGGGCTTAAACATAGGAATCTCAGTAAAGAAAAGAATGTGATAGTTACAACCTTTTCAATCAAGATTCATTATCAGCGGTGTAATGAGATATATGATTATTCCAAATTCCAATGCAATGTGCTTGCTTGATATTATGTGAAATCACATATAGGTGAATTTAGCTTTGGATGTGGATTTGTACTGCACAGTATTTAACTGCAGGCAGCGCACGCTATCCTTTTTTCCCACTCCATACAGTTCTACTATTCATTATTCAATGTATGGGAAGGTAGCCTATGCTCATGTATCAACAGAGTATTTTCATTGTCTGTTTCTTGCAGAATAAACCATGCACATGCTGATGAAAAGTGACAGCCAGCATGTATCATGCATCCCGTGAGAGCTACTATGCACTGAAAATTGGTAGTGTTATTCTGTGTTACATATTGCTACTGATGACTTGATTTTTATTTTATTTTTTCAATTAAAGCTGAAATTAAACCTCCCATTCTGGCTGTTGTTCAAGACAAAAGGTCCATCTTTTGCTATTTTGTTCCATAGCAATAATGTCAGAAAAAGCCTATATAACATGTACAATACAACATATCTGTGTTAGTTATTTAATTTCTTGCTTGATCTGTGAAGTGAAATCAGATTTATGCATGATTCTTCTTTGTGGTTTATCAGCTGGGATCACATGATGCAGAAATATCCAACTTTGGTCTTGTGTTATGCTACAATAAGGTAAGTCATTCTTTGACAAGGGGAAGAAATTCCAGCATTCATCAAAATTAGTAATATTTAGTAAGGAAAAGTATTACATTGTATTGAAAGGGTTTCCTTTGTGACCTAAATTACAGGTGTAACATGTTTGCAAGTGTAAAAAATTATACTAAGCTTCCAAGCATGCCCTTACATAGTACACGCAATGTAATGTTAACAAAAAATTTGGCCATGAACATCGTGTTGAATGTCAATTTCATGAGCACTTTTAGCTTCTTTTATAAATTCCTACTTCCATTGTTGGATACAGATTCAAGATGATAGATGATAGACTTAGGCTGTGTTCTTTCCCCCATTTTCCCAACCCACCTCTCTCGTTTTCCACGCGCACGCTTTTCAAACTCCTAAACGGTGTGATTTATGCAAAAACTTTCTATATGAAAGTTGTTTAAAAAAATTATATTAATCCATTTTTTTAAAAAAATAGTTAAGACTTAATTAATCATGCAATAAAACAAACTTCGTTTTGCGTGCTAGAGAGGAGGGGTTCCACCCCCTCCTCCGAACACAGCCTTAGATGAGCACATGATAGGGTAATTACTAAGAAGGTAAAATGGTTATGAATTAAGACTACGCAGGTAGTTGGGAGACTATTGTAAAAGACTAATGACTTTTGTTGCCTTCTGATTTTTCCTTTTCAGAACAGTTTGCAAATGGAAGTTAGCATTATAGAACTTGGAAGCCATCTTGATTGTGTGGACAAACATACCAATTCCAAAGCCGTCTTTTTAATCTAGTATATCATGATGCCATGGGGTTATTTGGCCTAGCTTATTTGCATATGTCAGAAAGAACTAGGGAATTGTGTTGGGGGGCACAAATAGCCATTTTATTAGTTCTCTTCTTTTCATTGTATAGTTGGCCTGGCAGATTTTAGCTGATTGGCTGAAAATATGATCCTATTGCTTCACGCTCATGAGAAATAAAGGGACCAATTTGTTGATATGCACTGCAAAAGTCGATGGTCGATGCTATTCCTGACTTGGTGTAGAGAATCACGGACCTCTATAGTAAACTAAGTTTTTGTTCTAATCATTGATCTTAGTGATTCTATACGGTCAAATAATTCAGTTTATACTAACCAAGCCTCATTGAAATGCCCAAAGAATTTTGTCGCCTTCTTACTGACAACTGGAAGGACTTAATTCTGTCATCTTGCGGTAATATTCAAATTAAAATGATGAACTAAACAAGGAATTATAAGAAATCATACATACATATTAGGAGACAGAAACTTTGGCATGGGAACACTATGTTCTTAAGAAGTGGTCCAGCCTTCAGAAGAGCTCTGATATTTCGAGTTTTCAGGTAATGCTTCTTTCCCACTACACCTGAACATCAACGGTGTGTTGTAGCTGCTTCAATCTTCAGACTTTTGTATGAAGTTTCATGGTAAACATGTATCTAGCTTTCGTTCCAGCTGTGCACCTCTAAAGCTGTACTCTGCAAAACATGCATCTACTCATTATATTACTTTGCATTGATTTTCATCAAGTGCATGTGCTACTTTAAAATATTTTCTGTTAAGTCAACTGATACGTAAATATCCGTGTGAAACTATAATACTCTAGAGTCTAGTGGGAAATATTTTGTAGTTAATGTATAGGTATCAGTTCCAAGGGGCTATTACTAAGTTGTATGTATTGTGATACTCTAGTAGCACCTCTAGGTCCTGGGCCCAACTCTCTATAGAAGCGAATTTCAGGTCTAGTTAAAAAAAATCACTTGCTAGCCCTCGTAAAAAAATGTGTTAAGAATCGACCTATTAAGGGTGGGCCCTCGTATAGGGGACAAGGGCTTTAAAGCAGGATTAAGGACCGATCCATACGACGTGAGTCCGCGTGTTAGGGGCCAGGTTTCGTGGCTTTTCTTAGTCGGTTTGGTTGAGGCTTCTTCTTCTTAATGTGGGGTGGTCATGCCTCCACTGGTCGAGTTTTTTTAATACCAAGTTATATATATGCTTATTAGTAACCAAATCTGTGGGATGTTTGACTGTATTACAGTGAAATACTGGAGAAATCTGGGAGTTAGTATTAATGAGGACTTGTTGCTGTGGTTTTCTGACTATGAGCTACCACAAGAAATGATAAATAGATATCTATTATTGAATCTGGAGATATAATGTGATACTAAAGCATAAATAGTACTGCTGCACTGCACCATGCAAGGACAAGTGGTCCAGTATAAGAAAACAAGATTATGGCCAACAGCTGCATGAACCTCCATGTGCAGCTTCAAAATAACCGGCTGCCTTTGAATATTCTACTGCTTCCCCTCAACAGAGTCAACATTAGCCATATTGTTTTGGTTGCAAGTTGCAGCTTGCAACACTCATTTCTCCTGAGAAACCCAACCTTCTTGCAGGTAGAGGAACAAGGAGGGAGATGGCTGGCCTGATTTCTTCAGGAATCATCAAGTGGACGGCAAGCAAGCTTTCTTCACTGGTTTCGGCATCACCTGGAGCATCAGCATCCAATGAGCAGAGTTCTGCACTCAGGGATGTGAGGACGCTGCAGAGGACGATGGCGAGGATCCAGCGCACGCTTGCTACCACCGATGAGCACAGCATCAGAGATGCATCTGAGAGGCTTCACCTGAGGGAGCTTCAGCAGTTTGCCTACGATGCCCAAGATGCAATCGATCTGTACAAGTTTGAGCTTCTGCGGCGAAGGATGGATGATCCAAACAGTCATGGAGATGGCGGCAGTAGCCGTAAACGCAAGCACAAGGGGGACAAGAAGGTACCACCAGTTCTTCGATCTCCTGTGATTTTTCTTTTCCTTTTCCGTTTGATTCATCAGAAAAGTTTTGCAGATTTACCATTTTAGTGAAATGCAAGCATGTGGATGGTTGGTCTAATTACTCATGTTACCATAGGTAGACAATATTGATTCTTGAAGTATATTGACATATTCCATTATCTCTAACATAAGAATCATCGATAAAACCGTTGCTAGTCTGCAGCTGTTGTCATGTCAACTACAGTGAAATAAATGAGCTAGGTAAAAACATGGGATTGAATGATTGTAATAATTTAATGAAGAAATTATCAAATAAAAAATAAATTTATAAAAAATGGTTTTATAAATGGTTTTATAAATAAAAGGCACTTTCTACAAGCAACTTACTAGAAAAATATTATTTTCTATTTTTTTTATTCAAGTATTTTATCTCCAGGAACCTGAAACTGAACCGGAGGAAGTTTCAATTCCTGATGAATTGGCTGTTCGGGTAAGAAAAATCCTAGAAAGATTTAAGGAGATCACAAAGGCATGGGATGATCTCCGTCTAGATGATACAGATACAACAATGCAAGATGAGGAACATAGCATGCTCCCACTGCCTACTACCCCATATGTTGACGAGCCCACTATCTTTGGTAGAGATGAAGATAAGGAAAAGATAATCAAAATGCTGCTCTCTGTGGGTGGTGCCAATGAAGGAGATGTGTCAGTTCTTCCCATTATTGGAATGGGTGGAGTAGGAAAGACAGCACTTGTTCAACTAGTGTACAATGATCGAAGGATTCTGAACAGATTTGACTTGATGGGCTGGGTTCATGTCTCAGAGAATTTTGATCTCAAAAGCATAATGCGTAAAATTATCATGTCCTTCACGAAAAAACCATGTCAGATGACACAAATGGATCAGCTCCAGTATATGCTAATAGAACAAGTTGTTGGCAGAAAGTTCTTGCTGGTTCTTGATGATGTGTGGAATGAGAGGAAGGATATTTGGGATGCATTATTATCAGCCATGTCACCTGCACAATCAAGCATAATATTGGTAACTACCCGCAATACAAGTGTGTCAACAATAGTCCAGACAATGCACCCCTACAATGTGAGTTGCCTACCTTTTGAGGAATCCTGGCAACTATTCAAGCAGATGGCCTTTTTGCACCAAGATGAGAGTATGAAAACAGATTTTGAGGTTATTGGCAGAAAAATTGTTCAGAAATGTGCTGGCTTGCCTTTAGCAGTGAAGGCAATTGCCAGTGCACTTCGCTTTGAGGAAAATGAGGAGAAATGGAATGACATATTGGAGAGTGAACAATGGGAGTTACCAACAACAGAGGATACTGTGTTACCGGCGTTAAAATTAAGCTATGATCAAATGCCAATCCACTTAAAGCGGTGCTTTGTTTTCTTCGCATTATTCCCTAAGAGGCATGTTTTCTTGAAGGAAAATGTGGTATATCTGTGGATATCTTTGGGCTTCCTTAAACGGACCAGCCAGACAAACCTTGAGACTATTGCAAGGTGCCTTAATGACTTGATGCAGAGGACTATGGTTCAGAAAATACTATTTGATGGAGGACATGATTGCTTCACCATGCATGACCTTGTACATGATCTTGCCGCGTCCATCTCATATGAAGATATTTTGAGAATAGACACTCAACACATGAAGTCTATGAATGAAGCATCAGGAAGCCTTAGGTATTTATCTCTGGTTGTGAGTTCTTCAGACCATGCGAATTTGGATTTGCGTACATTACCAGTGTCAGGAGGTATCAGGATATTTCAAGTTGTAAATTCTATGGATGACAATAGAAGATATTTTTCATCCTTCTTCAAAAATAACAGAAGATGCTTCTCCAAGTTGTTCTCACATCACATTAACCTTACAATTGATAATGAGCTATGGAGCAGTTTTCGGCATTTGAGAACTTTAGACTTAAGCCGCAGCTCAATGACAGCATTGCCTGATTCAATTAGAGGACTGAAGTTGCTCAGGTATCTAAGTATTTTCCAAACAAGAATCTCCAAGCTCCCAGAATCAATTTGTGACCTCCTTAATTTGAAGATCTTAGATGCAAGAACAAACTTTCTTGAAGAGCTACCACAAGGCATTCAGAAGCTGGTCAAGCTCCAGCATCTCAATTTAGTCCTTTGGTCTCCCCTGTGCATGCCAAAAGGAATTGGAAATCTGACCAAACTACAAACCTTGACAAGGTATAGTGTTGGAAGTGGCAATTGGCACTGCAATATTGCTGAACTACATTACTTAGTGAATATCCATGGTGAATTGACCATTACAGGATTAGGTAGAGTGACCAAAGTTGATGATGCTCAAACAGCCAACCTGATTAATAAAGAGCATGTGCAAACTCTAAGATTAGATTGGTCTGATGGATTCTACTCTAGTGAATGTGATCATAATTCTAGTCATATAGATGTAAAAGCAACACCAGAATTAGCAGAGGAGGTATTTGAGAGCTTAAAGCCAACTAGCAACTTGGAGGAGTTAGAGGTAGCTGACTATTTTGGGTACAAATACCCAAGTTGGTTTGGAGGTTCTGCCTATTCACAATTGGCCAAGATAACTTTATGGAAGCAAGGCTGCAAGTTCCTTCCAACACTTGGCCAGTTACCTCAGTTGCGTAAACTTGTAGTTATACGCATGGAGGAAGTAGAGAGAATCGGGCAGGAGTTTCATGGCGAGAATTCCACAAATCGATTCCCAGTATTGGAGGAATTGGAGTTTGAGAACATGCCGAAATGGGTGGAGTGGACTGGAGTTTTTGATGGTGACTTCCCTTCACTTCGTGAGCTGAAAATCAAGGACAGCGGTGAATTGAGAACCCTTCCACATCAATTATCATCCTCTTTGAAAAAATTGGTCATCAAGAAATGTGAAAAGCTGACAAGACTGCCAACTATTCCCAACCTAACAATCTTACTTTTGATGGGCAATCTTAGCGAAGAAATACACAATAGTCTGGATTTTCCAATGCTCCAAATATTAAAAGTGTGTTTCACGCAAAAACTTGTGTGCCTTGAACTTGACAATAAGAACCTACCAATCCTGGAGGCACTAGCTATAAGTGGATGCCGGGGGCTATTTTCTGTGGTAGGATTGTTCAGCCTTGAATCCCTCAAGCTTCTAAAAATAAAAGATTGCCCAAACCTGCAGTGCCCTTTACAACCACTTCAACAGCAGCTTCAGTAATGTATTATCACGAACTGTCCTCAATTACAGGAATGGATTGAGTGGCAACAGTCTCTAATAGACAAGGAAGATAAGGTAAGAGCTTTTTTTTTTTATCTGTGCTTTCTTTGTGCCTTTTGTTTTTTGTTTTCTTCACTGAAATTGATGTATTTTATCCTCAGCAGCAACCAGAATTTGATAATGCAAGTTATGATCAAGAGGCTCTTGGTGCACTGAGCGACAATAGTGAGGATGATGTTGAAGTTTTCAATGAAGATGAAGATGACGATTTCTATGATGAAATGCTAGAAGTTGGGCAGTCAAGCGGGACAGCAATTAATGACGATGATGGAAGTAACGATGCTGTTTGAAGTATGAGAGCAATATTTTTGAACATCACGTGCAAATGATTTTGTTTGCATGTCGTTCTCCAACTTCAACTTGATTAATCCAATTTGATGTGCTACTTCCTATTTTTTATAAAAAAACTACAGTGCAAAATATACCAATTTCAGGTCGAAAAAAATATGTGACATACATTCCATTAGCTGGATAGCTATGGTTTTAATGTAGGAAAAACTGTTATATAAGTGTCTTACAAAATATTTCTGAGCTCCCAATCTTGATAACAAATGAAAAAAAAACTCATAGAAGTAGGAAACATGAACCGTAAGTAGAAGTATTTAAAAAACATGTGGTTTGAGCTTTCTAATTTTATGACAAACTTGGCTACCATCACGGATTTCCAGTGCTGCCTCAAATTTCCCTTTGGTTCAGTTGCATTTCTCGGATAAACAAGTTTTCTTGTTAGCGACAATTGCATATTTTTTATTAATAATTTCATATTTTTGCAACTAATTGATTGTCACTATCACTATTCATGCATCATGTTTATGCGTCTGCAGGACTGCAATTCGTCCAGTTGTCCATCTATGGTGACAAATTGCAATTGTCTAGAGCAAGACAGGGTAGTAAAAAGGTACAGCTATTTCACGCGTACCCCAAGTTGAATGTGTGTATGCAACCTTGGTTGAATGATCGTTAGTTATGAACCATACGGCAGCTAAGATCCAGATTTAGCCGTTTGGTTAAATATCGATCCAATTATATGCATTGAGGCAGTACCAGATACATAAGGCGTTAATTTCTCAATTATCAGGAACGAAGAAATTGGAGGAAACAAATTAAAGGTTAAAGACATCACCATCAACTTTAACAAAAAAATCATCTTTGCATAAGCATCTACTACATCCAGCAGCATGAACATATAGTGTTTAAGGTATCGGACATGGAAGATACTTAAATACTAAGCCAAACGGTTCATATTTCAAAATTCAGCTAACACCTCAAACGGTTTCACTAATCATGCAGATCACACTTCATGCCAGATGTTCACTTCTTATACTTCTTTGGTGCCCTGCATCATTACGAAGTTGCAGACGATAAAACTTTATGAAAACAAGCATACATATTTGCAAATGGATGGTTCAATGCTACTTACGCCGCAGTTTGAGCAGGCACTGCTGGAGCAGCTGGCTCTCTTGGGCCCTGTTTGTCATCATAAAAGTATTAAAAACACATGGCCAGCAAATAATCAAATATGAACAAGCCAGGCAAATATGCTTTACCATGGAACATCTTCAAAAAATTAATCATGATTTGACAAGCTTATTGTAACATGAATGACGTCCCAGTGTCATTTAACATGAATGAGTTGACAGCATTGCTTTACTAGCATTTTTTTATTTGGTGGAATAAGATATATTTCAATATTGAAATGCAAATGCTAACACATTAGATATTCCAATGAAAAAAAAAAAACTATAACCATAGAAATCGTCTCACCTGAGCCAACCTCTCGTCACGCCTGGCAATCTTCCTCTCACGACTGGCCTTGCTCTTGGCACGCTTAGCCTCAAACTGGTCAGAGAGTGTCTTCTCTCTTGCCTTCTCAGCCTTAGACTTGTGGATACTTTCCATGAGAACACGCTTGTTCTTGAACATGTTACCCTTGACCTTCATGTACATGTCATGATACATGTGCTTGTCAATCTTCTTGGCCTCACGATACTTGCGCAGCAAACGCCTGAGCACACGCATCCTCCTCATCCACAGGATCTTGGTGGGGAGCCTAGCCTCCCTGGTACCCCTACGCTTACCTGCAAAATGGCAGAATAAGGAATACGCAGAGACATTTTCACACTAAAATAACAATGAACTTAATTGTACACAACGCACCATAGCCAGAGTGACGTCCCTTCTGCTTGGCCTCATGGGCTCTCCGTGCACGGGACCTGGAGTGAATCTTCTGGGGCTTCTTGATAATGAACCCATCCTTGACCAACTTACGGATGTTCTGACCTGCAAGCACAAAGGAAAAAAAATCAGATAGCCTTCCAAGAATTTCAGGCATGTGATATGAGTCACAGATATATACAGGGCAACAAACTTCAGTATCTAGAACAGTAAATAATTAATAGGATATTTTATTGGTTCTTGCAGGAAATGAGTTGTGACCTATTCCAATAGGACATTACACAAACTCGCTTGCAGATAAGCTACACCATAATTCATACGCTCAGACAGGATCATACCACAGTTGTACAAATGGTGATGCAGAATCAAAATGAACCAATGAGCTTTAGAAGTTGGAATTGCAATTGCAAAACTGACAAAAAACTGATCCTTTAATGGTAATCATCATTTGGGCATGAATTGCCAGCATCCTAACTGATTTAGGTAACGAATAACTCAACGAAGAAGCACAAATGCACATGCATATCTAAATGCGCCAGGCATCCCCTTGTCTCTTTGTATATTAATCACTATAGAGGACAGTTAGTCACATTCCCAGAACAGCGCCTTGGATTAGAACCCCTAACGACAACCTTGATCAATCGGTAACAACACTGCATGGTCCAATCTAGATAGCATACACTCCAAGGTCAATATACTGGCCATTTCTCTAATGTTCTCTTCCAAACAAATACACCCAGCACAACAACCTAACAACTCCTATAGAACTGGGAGCACGCGATTCCCACGAAGCAATAAAATATTCCTACCAGAATCGCCGGGGGCAAAAATTTTCGCGCGGATTAGCAGCATGGCTTCAGATCTAAGCAAATCACGCATCAACACCACACAAGTAGCAGGCACAGAACATCATACGGTAGGGCAAGGGGAGGGTTATGGGGGGGAGGGACGAGGAGGGGAGTTCTCACGGGAGTTGGCCATGGAGATCTCGTTGACCTCATTGGGGTCGAGCCAGACCTTGCCCTTGCCGCATTTGAGCACGCTGGAGGCGAGCCGCTTCTGCAGCTTGAGGGAAACCATCGCCGCCGCCGCCGCCGGCTTCTTACCTGTGTGGAGTGTGTGGTGAGGGGGGTGCAAGGGTTGGCCGCGTGCGGCGCCGGGGGTTTATATAGTGAGAGGGGCTAGGGTTTCAGCCCGAGCGGGGAGACTCATGGGCCTTGGGCCCATCAGTGTGTTGGGGTTTGCAGCGGGAATAAGTTCACTTTATGACCCTCAAATGTCCACGACCTTAAATTACAAAATCGGATATCTCGACCCCCAAACTCCTAAAACCGGTGCATTTGACTCCCTGGACCGTTTTGGGAGGCGGTTTTGCTGATGTGGCGCCGTGCGGTGCCTACGTGGCAATATTGACCGAGTTTTCGGTCCACGTAGCGTTGACGTAGCACCTACGTGGCGGTAGAATTAAAAAATATGCATGGGACCCATTAGTCATTCACACAAAAAGAAACATGGGCCCACTAACATATGGGACCTATATCCTCAAGAACTCATGTCGACGATACTGTGGGGACGAGGGCTACTAGTTCCTACCGCACGATCGGAACTGTGGCATGCTAAATAGGCGCGGCTCTTACCCCCAGATGGGCCAAGTTTGACAAGTACTCCCTCCTTCAAAAAAAAAAAAAGACAAACCCTGGGTTTGCGTGTCCAACTTTGACTGTCCGTCTTATATGAAATTTTTTTATAATTCGTATTTTTATTGTTGTTAGATGATAAAACATGATTAACACTTTGTGCGTGACTTGTCTTTTTAATTTTTTTCATAATTTTTTTAAATAAGACGGACGTCAAATATTGGGCACGAAAATTAGGGTTTGTCTTTTTTTGGGACGGATGGAGTAGTACTGCTGACTTTGTTAGTTTGTGCTTTAATATTAGCAAAAAAGTGTGGTCTGTGGTGTATTGCATGGGCTGTTCCTAAACATGCATGCACCTAATTAATCTAAATGTACTGTGTGGGTGGATCATTTATTTGCTGGTCTGATAGTTTGTTTAGTTCAAAAATGTATCTTTTTTTCCCTTCCGATAACGTTTCGATGCACCTTTTTGATTACGATTGTCGACGGGTGATACCCGTAGACCGGATATAGAGGGTATTGGGGTACGCTGGTACAAGGATCTACGTAGTACGACATCGAGTAATCAAAAGACAAGAATTATACTGGTTCAGGCCCCTTGATAGGTAATAGCCCTAATCCAGTTGATATGGGATTATATGGTGGAAAACACAGGTTACAAAGGAAAGATGGAACTTGTCGAATCCGGCGAGATTGTAGTCGAGTTGATTCGACTAGCTCTTGACGACGTGGCCCCTCGCAGGCTCCGGCTTCGTAGGCTGTGTGGGTTGTGTTGGCTCTGAGATTCGATCCTCTATGCCCTCCCCAGGGGTCCCTTTTATATCGCAGGTCTGGTGGTCTCCGAGTAGGACTCGAACACACCAGACCCAGACCCAGCTCAATACGTAGGTAACCCAGTTCTTATCCGAGAAGGACTCTTCCCGTCTATTGATTTCGTGAAAGGTTTCCTTAGATCATAAAGGAAATATCCGCATACGCGTGGGTATGCCATGTCGATACGTAACGTATATCGAAGGGTAGAGGGTATGCCTGACCCGTAACCCTGACAGTAGCTCCCGACTTCTGCTCAAAATGAACTCGTGCGACCATTCGCGACTTCGGGTGTCGAGAACGTTATCATTCCAGGTACGAGAACCACGGAGATGACGTGTAGTCGAACATGCCGTTTGAAGCCCAACGGTCACGAGTGAATTTTGAACTTAAGTCAAAAACTGCCGCGCGTAATGGACCTAGAAATTTCCGGCGGGGATTTCTCTCAGTTCCTTGGAATTCGCACCGTCGGGGGTGCGCCTATTTAAAGGGATTTTGGGTGCGCATTTTGAAGTCCGCCCACTCCATCAAGCACACACCGCCCGTTAGCGCTCCTCGCCTTCTCCACTGCCGTAAAGAACCCTAGCTTCGTCAGCTTTAGGTCCATCTCTGGCGATCTTCCAGCAGCGATGGATCTCGGCAAGTCGGCTTCCACCAGCGCGACCCTGAAGAAGCTCCAGGAGGATGGCGCCCTTCCTGGCCGTGAAAACGCGGAGAGGGAAGCAGGAGGTACAAATCCTCAGCCCATCTTAGGTCGCATGGTTGTGATCGAAGATTATGTTGTCTGCGGGTTTCTCTCTTCACCCTCCGAATTCCTTCTGCTGGTTTTGAATTTCTATGGGCTTTCTCTTCTGCACTTGAACCCCAATTCCATTGCTTTCCTTAGTGTCTTTGTGCATCTTTGCGAGGCCTACATTGGGGTAGAGCCCTTTCTTGATCTGTTCCGCTTTTATTACGAGTTGCGCTGGATGGAACCCAATAGGGTGTCTGGTTGCGTCGGGTTCCGACTTCGTGACGGGATGAAGTCGCGCTATGTCCCCTTCCAGTGTCCCTCTTCTCGTAGTAAATGGCGGAACAGGTGGTTTTACCTTGAAATCAAGGATTCAAATCCGATCCTCGTTGTTCCCGAGGAACAACAAGATTCTGGTCTGGACCGCCAAGCCCCCCTTGACCCCCTCTCTCCAATCGTTTATCGACATCATCGATGATCTCCGAGAACGGGGCTTATCGGGATATGAAGTCGTTGCAGACTTCGTCGATAGGCGAATCCAGCCGC